CAGATATCGTTCGTATCAAGTGCTACAGAAACACAGTTTATGGTCATGCCAGCGGGGCCTCAGTTGATGACCCAACATTCAATCAATATTGGCAGGACATCCAAGATGCATTGGTGAGACTGGGAGGAGCTGGTTATCAGAGTGCTATTGATGATCTGAAAAAGGAATGCATGGATCCTGATTTCGAAGAACACTATAAAGAGCTTCTTAAACAGTGGGTAGTTGATGAATTCAGCATCAAAGAAAGACTGGATGAAATGGCAGAGCACTTTGGTAAAAGCCTGGATGAATTAAAGGAGGCAATCGTTAACCCTATAAGGAAAGCAGGAGACAAAGGTATTGTGTGTTAACGATAAAATCTGTGCAACGGCCTTTTGATCTTTCACGAGAAAAGAAACTTGAAAAGGAGGATTGAGGGGCCTCTCATCAGAGGGTGATGAGCAATTTAACAATCAGTTCATTACAGTATTATAAAATACCTACCTTTAAAAATAGCTCAAACTCGGAGAAATATCTTCCACTGGAACTGATCCGTTTCTCTCTGACACAATTGGAAAAAGACCGGGTGTTGTGTTTTCCATGTTTTTTTCGGGTGATAAGCGAGTTATTTTTTTTGTTCCTCGTGCGGGAAGTAAAGAGAATTCATAGTTGAAATATGTTTAAAAAAAACCGAGTACGTCTGACAATATTTACCTGGTCGGGTTCGTCGAAAGAAAGAGATGGAAAAAAGCTAAAGTTCTTAATGAAGTGGAGACGACAGGACGAATTCTCTCTCCAAAGTGTACTTAAGCCTTACTTAATCTCCAGCGTAAAAACAAAAACTATGTGTTTTCGAAGTCAAAATCGGTTCCTCCCGTACCACAAATTCCTGGATCCGCTCCCGAAATGGGCCGGTTAGTGTCGGTAATCATATGATTTTGAGTACAATTTGTATAGGTAATCATATGATTTCGAATGCAATTTGGAATAAATAAGAACGAGTAAATTCTTTTTAAAGACTAACCACAGGCGGCCCAAGCTTCAGCTGAGAGATGATCATCTTGCGCAATAACAGTCATGGCGGAATTATAAGAGTTTGTATGGGAATATTTACGGCCGCCCTAAAGAATAAAATAATACGTCAAATTCTCAAAAAAAAAAAACCTCACCTTACTTCTACAGCGTAACGCTTGTTGTCTGACCGCTTACTTTGATAAAAAGGACGCATTTTAGCGAGTTGTCATAATTCTTATGTGCGTTGAAAACGTCGAAATGGACAACTCGCTAAAATTAACAAGTGCTTGTTTATTCCACATTGCACGAGAGAAATCATGCGATTACGTTTTGATAATATACATGAAAAAAATACGAGATAGCTTATCATAATTAAGCAAAAGCAAAGCGCGCGCATCAAGTGCAAAAAAATTTATTCAAACCGTGCGTTCGGT